AGACCCTCCCCATTTCCCCTTTTCTCTGACCTTCCCCATTTTCCCTTCCAATACCAGCCCAAGTCCCCTTGTCCCTGTCACTCCCCATATCCCCATTTCCCCGCCACTCCGTGTTTCCCCTTCCCCCGGTCCCCCATTATTTCCCCTTGTCTTGTCACTCCCCTTATCCCCTTACCCCTGTCCCTCCCCATTTCCCCTCTTCTCTGACCTTCCCCATGTTCCCTTCCAATGCCAGCCCAATTCCCCTTGTCCCTGTCACTCCCCATTTCCCCTTTCCCCTGTCACTCCATGTTTCCCCTTCCCCCAGTCCCTCAGCATTTCCCCTTGTCCTGTCACTCCCCTTATCCCCTTCCCCCAGTCCCTCCCCATTTCCCCTTTTCTCTGACCTTCCCCATGTTCCCTTCCAATGCCAGCCCAATTCCCCTTGTCCCTGTCACTCCCCATTTCCCCTTTCCCCTGTCACTCCATGTTTCCCCTTCCCCCAGTCCCTCAGCATTTCCCCTTGTCCTGTCACTCCCCTTATCCCCTTCCCCCAGTCCCTCCCCATTTCCCCTTTTCTCTGACCTTCCCCATGTTCCCTTCCAATGCCAGCCCAATTCCCCTTGTCCCTGTCACTCCCCATTTCTTCTTTTCCCTGTCACTCCTTGTTTCCCTTCCCCCAGTCCCTCAGCATTTCCCCTTGTCCTGTCACTCCCCTTATCCCCTTCCCCTTTGTGCTTTCCCATCTCCTCTTCTTTCTCACACCACAATTTCCCCTTCCGTTTTGTCTCTCCCACTTCCCCTGCCATTTGTCCCTCCCATTTCCCATCCCCCCTGTCCCTCCCATTGCCACTTTCCTCTGTCCCTCTCAATTCCCCTTCCCTCTGCCCCTCCCCATATCCCTTCTCTCTGTCGCTCCCCATTCCCTGTTCCCAACACTGCATGTTACCCCTTCCCTCTGTCCCTCCCCATTTCCCCTTCCCTCTGTCCCTCCCCATTTCCCCTTCCCTCTGTCCCTCCCCATTTCCCCTTCCCTCTGTCCCTCCCCATTTCCCCTTCCCACTATCTCTCCCATTTCCCCTCCCCTCTCCTCCCACTTTCCCCTTCCCCTTTCTCTGTCCCTCCCCATTTCCCCTACCCTCTGTCCCTCCCCATTTCCCTTCCCTCTGTCCTGCCCCAATCCCACTTCACTCTGTCCCTCCACATTGCCCCTTCTCTCTGTCACTTCCTTATTCCCTTTCCCATACACTCCATGTTACCCCTTCCCTCTCACTTCCAATTGCCACTTCCTCTGCCCTTACCCAAATCCCCTTTTCCCTCTCCCTCCCAGGTATGATGATGGTACCTACTCCCTCTGTAAGCGCTTTTTTTTTGTTTGTTTGTTTGTTTTTTGTTTTTTTTTTTTTTTTGCACCCAACAAGTGAACAACACTAAGACGCCCTCCACTCGCTTCCGTTTTTCCATGATTTTCCACACCACAGGCTCGCCAGACTATCCGCCCTTGGGTCATACACCCGGCTCATCTTCCATGGACATTGAGATCAGATTTTTTTTATTCCATTATATTTGGGGCTTACATCACCCTATCTCCGTCTGCGTGTCTGCCAACAGCATGTATCAATAAGAGTTAACTCTTCTCTCCACATAGGTTCTTTGCTAGTTTCACACAACGATGTGACCCGACGAGCTGCCAAACAGTGGCCATATCCTCAACGTCTGAAAGCTGGGACGTTCAATTTGTTTCATGGACGCACAACCCAAGTCAACATTAGAAGGTTTTGCAAACATTGATATTGTAGGGTGAAATTCACTAGCTGCTCCTTTGTCTGTACTACCAACAGCCCCACCAGCAACAGCCCCACCCTGTCGATGTGCTGTGCGCTGCGGCAGTGGCAGCAGCAACACGTGCTTCTCTGCGGTGAAAGGCGACCAAAGATACAGCTCCAGCAGCACTGACAGGCCTGTGTGTTGGGGTGGACACAGGGCAGTAGACTGCAGACATCAACACAGAGATGGAATGAAAGGGTGTGAGCGGGATGAAATGAGAGTGAGAGGGGGATGGACTGAGAGTGAGAGTGGGATGGAATGAGAAAGATGAGGGTGGGAAGGAATGAGAGTGGGAGGGCGTGAAGACTGGGGAAGTGAAGGATCCGCACCTTGCTGTCAGTATCCTGATGCGATGCTTCTAGGTCGTCCTCCTGGCAGGGAGGATGTGGGAAGGGGGGAGCAGGAGCAGGATGGGGGAAGAGGCAAAGAAGAAGCAAAGCAGGGTCGGGGAGGGGCACATGGGCAGGGAGAGGATAGACCTATGGAGAGGTAGAGTAAGGGATCAAGGGGAGGCCCCTTGAAAATGGCAGCACTGCAAATGCATTAGCAATTGCTTGCTCCAGGGATCTGGCAGGCCCTTCAGCTATCATATCCCTCTCCCTTTCCCTCTGACCCATCGATCCCCTCATCTCATACCCTGGGCTCACCTGGCGTGTGGGAAAATATCACCTGAGAATATGGAGGGGGGCCCAAGAAGGGAAGGGGATGGGGGGATGCAGGGAAGGGGATGGGGAGAAGCAGGGCAGGGGATCGGGGGAAGCAGGGCATGCACGAGAGAGGAGCAGGGAAAGGGAACGCGGGCAGACGAGAAGGATAAGCACCAAACTCACATGACCGGCCTTCTAATTCCCACACCTAACGGCCCATCAATCCCTTCCCCCAAACCCACCTTTACCAAATCCCCGTACCTCACACGCCCGTCTTTTCTGTGCCATGTGTGCAACGTTCCAGTCACGGATTTCCATGCTGTCTCCTGCATCAGGTTCCTCACAATCTGGCTCCTCGGCTGGTCCCAATCGCTAACCCCCTCCTTACTGCCCACCTGCCCACCTGCCCACCTGTGTAGCGCGCCATGGTGCCTGGAAGATGAAATGCGGACCAGGAAACGCGAAGGCAGGAAGGAAAAATGGAAGGAAGGCAGACGCATGTCTCAGCTTTGTCCTTTCCGTTGACCAGAAGGAAGCCGCCGTAATGATACACCTGCCCACCTGTGTACCGCGCCAAGGTGTCTGATGGAGGGGAGTGGATGGGAGTGGAGGGGAGTGGAGGGGAGTGGAGGGGAGTGGATGGGAGTGGAGGGGGGTGGAGGGGAGTGGAGGGGAGTGGATGGGAGTGGAGGGGAGTGGAGGGGAGTGGAGGGGAGTGGAGGGGAGTGGAGGGGAGTGGAAGGGAGTGGAGGGGAGTGGAGGGGGGAAGCAGGGCGGAGGGAGGGGGGAAGCAGGGCGGAGGGAGGGCGGAAGCAGGGAGGAGGGAGGGGGGAAGGGGAAGCAGGGAGGAGGAGGGAGGGGGGAAGCAGAGCGGAGGGGGGGGGAAGCAGGGCGGAGGGAGGAGGGAAGCAGGGAGGAGGGAGGGGGGCAGCAGGGAGTAGGGAGGAGGGAAGCAGGGAGGAGGGAGGGGGGAAGCTGGAGAGGGACAGGAGAATAGGTTGTAAGGGAGGCAGGTCAAAATAAAGAGGGGTGTAAACGGTGATGCCAGAAGTGAGGGGGACTGGGGGAGGGAGTGAGGGGTGTACAGGCTCTCCCCCTCTCTCTCTCCCTGTCTGCCCCTCCCCCTCCGTTCTTCCCCTCTGTCCTTCCCCTGCAGTCTCTCCCCCTCAGTCCTTCCCCTTCTTTCTCTCCCCCTCTGTCCTTCCCCTTATGCCTCTCCCAATATATCCTGCCCCCTCTGTCTCTCCCCCTGTGTCCTTGTCCCTTTGTCTCAAACCCTCGGTCCTTACCCCTCTCTCCTGAGAGGAGTACATGAGAGGGACATTGGAAGGGGGGAAGAGAGCAAGGTAGTGAGGGACGGAGGAAAGGAAGCGAGGGGAGAGATGGGGGTTCCCAGGAGAGATGGAGGGAGGAAGAGGCGATTCGGGTGGTTGGAGGTGTGCTACCGGGGGAATCATTGGCGGACTTCATGTGCGAGTATAGGCTGCGCGCGCGAGAAAATGAAGAGGCGGGGTCGACGGGGAGAAGCGCGTGGGCAACGACGAGGCGGGGGCGACGAGGTTCCGCGCGTGGGACAGATTGCGAGGCGGGGGCGACGCGGTCCAGCGCGTGGGAAATGACGAGGCGGGAGCGACGGGGTGAAGCGCGTGGGAAATCGCGAAGCGGGAGCGAAGAGGAGATGTTGAATTAAAGCAGTTTCGCGACTAAATCAGCCACGTGCACGGGAAGAAACAGGCACAAACGGACTCACTTGCACACATCCGCGCATGCAACATTTCGATCGGTTCTGGTGTCGGGCTAGCGCGCGCTGCGCCGTGCCTCAACAGAATCGATACTAGCTTCGACTAATCGCCGCGGGAGGTGCTACTACAGCTATGCTACTCAGTGTCGAGCGGCTTTGGTGCCAGACATTTAGTCAGGGGGTTGGCAGGGCGTGTTCGAGATGGGCGCTGCTCATTTCTCACGTGGCTTCTGTTGAATATGTTTCAATTGGGGTGGTTCTGTCGCGGGTTGCTGGTGCTGCAGGAGTGTTCATTCTGCCTTGACGGTCCAATCAGAAGATGCAAATCCTACACATGATTGGGTGAGAAGGTTTGATCGCTAATGCATTCACAATGCTGTCGCCAACCACACATGCGATCAACTGGACCCTGATTTTTTTTTTTGCTCCCCTCCCGTGGGGTACATGCCTCCTTTCTCTTGGCGCGTAAATTCTGGCCATCCACCCGCACTCCTTCCCGCCACTTCACTCATTTCAACCTGGACCCAACTAGAAAACGGGGTCACTATTTTGCCTGCTCGCTTTAAAGCGTACATTCAGAAATGTTGTTTAATTCACACACAAGAAAACGTGCTCCATATAATCAAGTGGGTATATGTTCCGTTTCTTTGGTTTTCTTCCATACCGTACTAATAATACCGAGGGAAGATGCTGCTGGGGCTGGCCCAGCTTCTAATAACACTAAGAACATACCGCTTACAAGGGATGATGGATGTACGAGTAGGCTAAGGCTACAGCGATACCTAAGCAGCAATGTCATGTCATGGTTAGGTGCCAATCTCAAGGATCTTGACAACAAAGGAGTCGCCGAGCTTTTGCACGACGACCACACGGTCATGGGCGCGCATGAGGCCCATCTCCCTGCCCTTCTCCATCGCCATCTTCAGCACCGTCTCGTTCGTCGTGATGTTGCTCGCCGACTGCCACACACACGCATGGCACCGCACAGAAGGTGGGAGAACGCAGCTAGGTAAGGACGTTGAGGGAGAAAAGAAGGGAGCACAGGAGCAGGGGTCTGGTAGCATGGATGAGGAAACAGAGCAGGGAATTGGGAGTGGAGCGGAGCATGCAGGGTGGGCGGTACCGGGTTACGTGGGTCGGCGAGCATGGGGAAGAGGCCTCGAATGGCGAGGCACTGGCGGGCCTGGAAGGCACCAGTGAAGCTCCACTTGAGCTGGTTGGTGCTGAGGCGCGGCACCACCACCACCAGCGTGGGCATGGTGGGCTTGTACTTGGCCACCAGCCTGCCATACCGCCACCACAGTGCCGCATCAGAACAACACAAGTACTCGCCAACCCACAGGCCATGCAAGAGTTCTGGGGCAGCACAATGGAGGGCAGGGCTGACCTAGCTGTGCGGCCTGACGACGTGAAGACCACGATGGTTGACGCGCGCACCTTCTCAGCTGCACGCACCTGGTGGGACCAGCAACACATAACCAAAGGGCACAACCACACGACACGACTCCAGCGAGCGGGTGAGACATGGAGAGGGCCATTTGCAGCAGCAGCAGCGGTCCAAACAGGGCGCGTTATGTTAGGACCCAGCACACAGCACAGGTCTGAGGTGCAACGACAAGCACCACGCACGCGCATGCATGTGCTATGTGAGTGCGCTTGGCAACAAGGTGGTGCGGTGAAGGAGGGCGTGCGCATACAGCAGAGGAGCAGATGGACTCGATGTGGCTCATGGGCTCGCCAACGTATTTGACCGTCTTCTTGAAGTAGAGCTGCTGGTTGTACACCTTCTCTGCCTGGCCCATGCATGCGCGGGAAGGGGGGGTAAACAAGGCAGGTTTATAGTGCATGTGTGAATGTGTGTGTGTCAGTGTGCATGCACCTGAGAAATTGCCGTAACGAGAGAAGGACGGGGGGAGAAGGAAGCATGCAGCACGGCACGGTACCTCAGCGCAGGCAAGCAGCGCGGCAGGGCACGGTACCTACCTCAGCGCAGGCAAGCAGCACGGCAGGGCACGGTACCTACCTCAGCGCAGGCAAGCAGCACGGCAGGGCACGGTACCTACCTCAGCGCAGGCAAGCAGCACGGCAGGGCACGGTACCTACCTCAGCGCAGGCAAGCAGCACGGCAGGGCAGGGTACCTACCTCAGCGCAGGCAAGCAGCACGGCAGGGCACGGTACCTACCTCAGCGCAGGCAAGCAGCACGGCAGGGCACGGTACCTACCTCAGCGCAGGCAAGCAGCACGGCAGGGCACGGTACCTACCTCAGCGCAGGCAAGCAGCACGGCAGGGCACGGTACCTACCTCAGCGCAGGCAAGCAGCACGGCAGGGCACGGTACCTACCTCAGCGCAGGCAAGCAGCACGGCAGGGCACGGTACCTACCTCAGCGCAGGCAAGCAGCACGGCAGGGCACGGTACCTACCTCAGCGCAGGCAAGCAGCACGGCAGGGCACGGTACCTACCTCAGCGCAGGCAAGCAGCACGGCAGGGCACGGTACCTACCTCAGCGCAGGCAAGCAGCACGGCAGGGCACGGTACCTACCTCAGCGCAGGCAAGCAGCACGGCAGGGCACGGTACCTACCTCAGCGCAGATCTTGCGCACGGTCATGACGGTCTCCACGGGGTACAGCCCTCGCAGCGTCTCCGCCCCCAGCAGCACCGTGTGCGTGCCTGCTCTCGCACAGCACAGCAGCAAAACCACAAACGTGGTGTGTGGGGGAGACCAACACAAGTCCTACAAAAATCACAAGTTCCAGCAGAAAACAAACGAACAGGTGCGCACGGCAGCAGTTTGTGGCCACTATTCCACTTTCTGTCGCATGGTGAAGTGCGGGGTGCATGGTGGGTGCACGGACCATCGAGCACGGCGTTGGCAACGTCGGTGGCCTCGGCTCTGGTGGGGCGCGGCGTGTCTGTCATGGTGTCCACCACACGCGTGATGATGGACGGCTTGCCCGCCATGTTGCACTTGAAGATGGCCGCCTTCTGAAACAGAAACACCTGCGCTCCCCCGCACCACGGGGACCAATGCGGGCAGGGCGTGGCACATGCGACAAGGATGCAAGAGATGGAGAGATACGTGACGAGCGTTGGCAATTAATCACCAATTCGGGGAGCTGAGGGTGGAAGACACAATGGTATGGGTGGTGAGGGTAGGTGTGTGGAGGGCAGGGGTGCTGGGTATGCATTGTGATTGTTACTGTGATCAAGGTGGTGGGGAGCCACATTAGTGCGCACTGTTCTCGAGGCTGTGACACGAGTCCTGCACCCACCTTCTCTGCTGGGAGGTCAATGCCCAGATCGCCTCGTGAGAGGATGATGCCGTCTGCCTCCTGAAGAATCTCGTCAAAGTGCTTCAATCCCTGCTCACACACAACACAACCGCGCAGCCAGCACCGAGACACAGTGAACGAGCAACAAGAGTATCAGCCATGGGGTAAAATGTGGGGGGGGCGTGGGATGGCATGGGAGAGAGCGAGGGCGAATGAGAAATGGGAATTAGCAGGGCTGGGATGGTGGGTGCAGCTGACCTCCATGTTTTCAATCTTGGCATAGATCTGCGTCTGAGAGAGATCGCCCAGCTTCGACAGCAGCGCTCGGGCCTGCTCGGGGGACAGAGAATGAAACAGGATGGGAAGAGAGGGCAAGAAGAACAGACCCAAGCCCACAAACACATGAGTAGGAGTTCATGAAACTGCTCCTTTACTCAGGAAAAGGGAAGCAGTAGAGGTGTAGAGTAAAGGCGAAAGGACAGCGTCAAAGTCGTGCACGCATGGGAGACCTGCGACAGCACCATGACAGAGAATGATGCATGCAGCACCTGAGAGCACCTGAGACAGCGCCCGAGACAGCATCCGAGGCAGCAGTCAAGATAACCCCTGAGACAAGCCATGAAGTAGCAATTGAGACAGCACCTGAGGTAGCACCTGAGGCAGCACCTGAAGTAGCACCTGAGGCAGCACCTGAAGTAGCACCTGAGGCAGCATGTGAGGCAGCATCCAAGACAGCACTTAAAAGAAGCACCTGAAGCAGCAGCAGCAGCAGAGCACCTGGCGGACGTCGTCAGCGTGGCGTGTGAAGGAGAGGGAGATGATGTCGATGCTGTTGCGCTGCCCCCACGTGGCAATCAGCCGCTTGTCCTCCTCCGTCAGCGTCGGCAGGTCTATGCGCACCTGTGCCGCCCAGGGGCGCGGGCGATAAGGGAACGACACGGGTGACATGGGGCGTGGAGACGAGAAGACAACTAGGGAACGGAGACAGGGAAGAGAGAGAGGCTGGAGGAAGCGCGGAAAGGTGGGGAGTGGGGAGTGGTAGAGGGGAGTAGAGAGGATGGTGAGGATGCAAGTAGGAGAAGAACTATAAATCCTGCAAATTGAAGCAAAACACGGGGAATTGGGATGGGGACGCGGGAAGGGACGGGAATGAGATGGGGATGGAAATGGGGATGTGCAGCAGCGCTATAGGCGCGATCACCAACCTGTGCCACGTGGGCCGTGAACACAGTGCCCGCCAGCGTGGCACTGTTCTTGACGAAGCAGATCACATCAGTGCCCTTCGTCTCGTGGACCTGGTAGCATGGCGACACGAGCACATGGGCAACACAAGGTGAGGATGAATGAATGCCTCCGCACACTGGGACTTGCAAGGCACAGTGGCAGCAGAGCAGCCAAGGGCACATCAGATGGAGTGCACGCAAGGTAAGGAAAACGAGAAGCAAGCAGCTTATCAGAAATGGGGAGAGGCGCGGGCGAGGGCAAGGATGAGGACGAGAACACGGCTAGAGAGGGTGGCGGGGGTGAGAGAGAGCGAGGGCGGAGGCGGTGCACCTCGAGCCAGACGGAGGTGGTTTCGCTGCCCGTGAACAGGTACTGCCCCACGAAGATCTCATCTCCCGGCTTCACTGCCTGCACGCGGCGCCACAAAGACAGCGTGCAATGAGAGTGCGTTTGCAACGGAGGTGGCGGAATGCATGGGCACATGTACGTGTGTGCAAGGGCGGTTGCACGTGGGAGCAGGTGGGTGCGAGTGGGAGCACCGTTGGCCGGAGGGGTGAAGGGCTTGCAGCAAGTGAAGGCGAGGCATACCTACCTTGGCAAGGCATACATTGGCGAGGCATACCTTGGCAAGGCATACATTGGCGAGGCATACCTTGGCGAGGCATATATTGGCGAGGCATACCTTGGCGAGGCATACCTTGGCGAGGCATACCTACCTTGGCGAGGCATACCTACCTTGGCGAGGCATACCTTGGCGAGGCATACCTTGGCGAGGCATACCTACCTTGGCGAGGCATACCTACCTTGGCGAGGCATACCTACCTTGGCGAGGCATACCTTGGCGAGGCATACCTACCTTGGCGAGGCCCTTGAAGTTGATGGGGAGCAGCTGCGAGGAGATGGGCGCGGCGGAGGGGCTGGGCGTGATGGTGATGGAGTCGCCGGCCGTGAGCGAGATGGGGCTGCCCGACGCGTTGTGGATGGTGATCTCCGGCCCCATCGTGTCAAACATCACCTGCTCGCCACGCCACCGCGCCCCGCACGACAAGGTGAACCAAGACGGCCACACGAGGACCACAAATGACGATCACACACAACAATCACACACGACGACCACACATGACAATCACACACGGCGATCACACACAATGGCGAGGGGCGACGTTGGCAGGGAGGGAGAAAGGAAGAGGCTAAGAAACCGCCACAGGACGCAGACACCCACAAGTCGAACCTCCAGCATCGAGAAAGACGGCATAAACGAGGGCCTGGTGGGGTGGCTCATGGGTGGCACAAGCAACAGTGTGGAATGTAAGGTACTGGAGACAGCGAGGGCGAGGTCAGTGTGAACGCAGTTCTGTGGAAAGAAATCGGCGTGAGGGACCCTCACCGCACAGAGCTTCTTTGTCTTGCGCATGGCCGCGCGAAGGTTGTCCAGTGTGGTTTGGTGATAGTCCGAGTCCCCATGCGAGAAGTCGAATCGCGCGACTGCGAGCACGGGAACCAACGCAACACGAGGGGAGAGGGAGCGAGATGACGAGCCTTGACAGAGCCAGCAAGGAGACGGACGATGTCAGTGCGGAGCGAGAGGTCCGTACCGTTCATGCCGGCTTCGAGCAGCCCTTCCAGCACCTCAACGCTCTGGCTCGTCCCACCAACGGTCGCAACGATCTTGGTCAGACATGGCAGCGACTTCTGCGGAACATGATCGACATCGGGAACACACACATGACGATGCAGAAAAGTTCAGAATGATGTGCGTTTGTGTGTGTGTGCGCGCGCGCGCGCGTGCGTGTGTGGGGGTTGGGTTGTTCTAAAAAATTCTCGGTATTCCATATCAATTGTCATCAATGAACCGCCGAGTCCATCGAACAATCAAGACTGAAATCAACAATCAGTCGCTAAGAGAAATTCGACACTGCAACCAGGTGATGGGCGGAAAAACCAGGTGATGGGCGGACGTCAGGTGATGGGGAGAAGCCAGGTGATGGGGAGAACGCACATGGTACGACGAGGACTCGAGAATGGATGCCAACCGGATTGGCTCCTCCAGGAGGAGATGGCTCGCCTGCACGCACCGCAGAGGCGGTGACAAAGGAGACCCGATCACAAGATAAAGGCAATCGTTCCATCTTTCTCCCGTTACTCAAGTACCAGAAAGCGGCAACAGGAGCAAATAAAGCAGGTCCAGGATGCATCAATATGAATCGGATGAAAACGATCCAAAAAAACTACAAGAAGGGCAAAGAGCCATTGGACAACAAGGATGTCGAAGACAATGACATAAGAGAGAAGTGGAGGAGGGCATACGGAGTGACAAATTGCTGAAGCCTTACATTATAAGGAGCCATGTTCGTTAAATAAGGCTGGAAAGAGAACGAAGTTAGTTAGCGGCAAGTACTGCTGTTTACTCTCCTCCGATTCAACCAGAGGAGATCATGGTGGCGGGCGAAGAAGGCAGAGTATGCTGCCAAGCCTGTTTGGTGTTTGAAAACCCAAAGCCACCTGAATTTCCGAGCGTAGTACGATAGGTTGATATCGGACGCCACTGACTGGCCGACGAATAGCAATTCAAGTTCCGGCAAGTGAAATGCCCCGAACCAGAAATCAAAGCCCAATCGGAGGGGACCTAAGGGGAATAACTGTGGTTCTGCATGTGGCACGGAGAAGCCATAGGTCAAATAAGGTGTTATAAACAGGTTAAGGTTATATGTTGATCTTTACCAAATAATAAGACCATAGAGCTATCTAGAATCATGGTCGAAATGGCCAGCATCCTATAAGGAGCATGTTGGAGTATGAAGAATATTGACTTTAACATTCCCGTAGGTGCAGCTGTACCGCACCCGTCACTATTGAGGCATCACTAGCAGCAGTATCGGATCAGCCTGTATCAAGGGCAAGAATGTCAACAGTCGCAAAGGTCAACTGTCGCAACTGTTAACCATCTGGACCGATTGTCTCACCAGCGAAGAATGGCAACAGGGGTAACCGTCTGTACAGTTATACACAGCGACCAGGCCCTACGATATCAGGAATTTTTCCCTGAAATTCATGATTTTCAGGGATTTTTTTTGTACCTACCCTGATTTTCCAGTGTTCAGCTTTTTGTGGGACTGATTTTTCAGCCTTTTCCTGCCAGATGACTCTGAACTTTCAGGTTTTTTTCTTTAAGGACACTGATTCCACTACGTTGTAACAAAACTAACACTGAATGCGATTCCTATACGTTTCGAGTCTAGTTGCTCGGAAGTACCAGGGAATCTCAGATCCCCCCGCTGTCAGCACCGCCCGGCGGTGACTAGTACCAGACAAAATTGCCCCGTGTTATTCACTTCGAGGGCTGCTTTGTTGGCGCGCCTGTTCCAATGGGATGGGAATGTTGCAACACAGCGATGCTGGCTGGTGCGATGCAATGCGAGAGTTCTGTCCCATTGCCTGCACCTGTGGCGCGTTTTGTCTTTGTGGTGCTGCCATGGCAAGCATTGATGCTCTCATGATGGGTTGCATCCACGCCGCCCAGTCGTGCTACCTGCCATCCAGGCTCAACCCTTTCCATCCGCAAGGGGGTTTCCTCGCTTTCCTGCCTTGTGTACGAAGAGGCAGTCAGCCGTGTCGAGGGTTATGCGCTGGCAATGCTTGTTTAAAGACCTTGAATAATAACCGACAGCCTTTGCAAATAGGGAACACTGATGCATCAGACTTTTTTTTGAAGTAACACTGAATTTTCAGGCTTTTGTTTTTAGGGGACACTGACAATCAGGGATTCCACACAGAGGGAGCCTGATGCACTTACGTGCCTAAAAGTGAATCTGAGGGCCTGGCAGCGACTCGGTAACAAGAAAAAGAGCAATAGTCAGAGTTACTATAGAACTGCTTGTAAAACAATTAGAATAAAAGAGTGTACCCCTTAGAGTACATGGCTAGTTAGATATATTTATCGTATATACTTTATCATTTTAACCGATCTTGTCTTCCGCTACCAAAACTGTCTTAAGCAATTCATGTCAGAAGTAGTAGGCAAAGTTTAGAAACAGAAAGAGGGTTTGGACTAGCAGCAGTTGAGATACAAATAGCAAACCCTAGATTGGGCTGTACTCGCTGTAGAGTACCCCACTGCAGGCTAGACAAATACAACATTCTGACAATTCAATCATATCCAAAATCCTCACTCTAGCATTGTATGAGAGCTAGTTTAGCATGGTATCCAAATCCAATACTTCCCTCCACCAATGTCGCTTCTACAACCGTGGATTCAGCGCTCCTCGAGCAGCTTATCTCCCGCATCAGCACCATGCAGAGCCACCAGTCAATGAGCATCGACGGCTCTAGTTACGCCCGAAGATCTCCCGATCCTCAACGAGCTGGGTCCGAGCGATCATTTACCTTCGACAATCGCGGAGCTCAAGGATCTGCACAAGCACAGCAAACACATTATGAAAAAATGGTGTCAATGCAGAACAAATTTCTTTCAACATCAAAGCTCAGTAACATGAAGCGCTTTACACCTGAAGTTTCGAATTCAAACTCCTGGCTGAAGTCGCACAGATCTGGACGTACTACGACGGGTCATACGCATTCCCGACTAACGGCTCACCTCAGGAGAAGACGAAGTACTACAACGAGTCGCTCCAGGCCTTCACAGTGCTGATCCGAAACCTGTCGACCAAAAAACAACAAAACATTCACCCCTTCAAAAACGAGTGGGCACCCGCACAGCAAACCCTGGGAACACCTGCGCACCTTGTCAGAATCCCAGCCACTAACCACTAGGATAAAAGGGCTTGTTTGTGTAGCGGGTGAGTGCGCCCATAACCCCCCAGACCAACGTGCCTGTAACCCTTCCCTAGGATCAATCGGGGATCACCAGTGGACCTCTGACACCCCCCCGCACTGGGATGCCCGAGGTGCACACACCGGGATTCGAACCCGAGACCTTCGCTCTGATACCATGTCAGAATCCTAGTCAATAACCACTGGGATAAAAGGGCTTATTTGTGTAGCGGGTGAGTGCGCCCATAACCCCCCAGGCCGATGTGCCTGTAACCCTTCCCTAGGATCAATCGGGGATCTCCAGTGGACCTCTGACACCCCCTCGCACTGGGATGCATGAGGTGCACACACCGGGATTCAAACCCGAGACCTTCGCTCTAATACAATGTCAGAATCCCAGCCACTAACCACTGGGATAAAAGGGCTTGTTTGTGTAGCGGGTGAGTGCGCCCATAACCCCCCAGGCCAACGTGCCTATAACCCTTCCCTAGGATCAATCAGGGATCACCAGTGGACCTCTGACACACCTGCCACATGACAACAGATTCGGTGACACCAAGTCGCCTTCTCAACCAGCTGAACAACGTAAAGATGTGTCCCAAAGAGAAGGCCGGACCATACATCAACCGTTGCAAAAACTTGAGAGACCAATTTAGGAAAAGCGGCGGCAACTTTCTCGACAACATGCTCGTCTTCCAGCCCCAAAACGCGGAAGGATCCGCACATGAGCAAGAAATGCAGCGGGAGCTCTTCATTCAAGAGCGGCGATGACCGATGATGCTCGCAACCCTCCCACGCCCTTGCTGGCTTGGCAATAGGCCCAGACAAGCGCAGCCACCTGACCCGGCGGAAGGAGCGCCTCCAGCCCCAAAACGCGGAAGAAGTTGTATATGTGCAGGAAGTGCAGCGGGCGCTTTTCATTCATGAGCCCCGATGACCGATGATGCTCGCAGCCCTCCCACGCCCTTGCTGTGTTGAGAATGCTAGACAGGAATGAATGCATTGAATCAGAGTTGGGTACACGTATCAAACCCTAAAAGGGTTGTACCCCATATTGGCTACCCCACTACAGCCTACACAAATATAGCATGCATATAGTTTGACACACCCCCATAGGCGAAGTGGGGGAGAACAAGGGGTCACAAGACCAGTCAAGAAAAGCAAAGCAAGCTCAGGGTGGATCACAACGTCACCACACACACTGAGCACAAGCAAGGGGCCACAAGGCCAGTTCACATGCAGAGACATATATGCAACAACAACAGTACAGTGATCACTACCTAGCAAGAGCCAGCATGCATATATATATATATATATATATATATATATATATACATATAGATCACAGTACAAGCAGAGTCTACAGCAAGTGTGGAAACGTAGGCACAAGGCCCAACAAAGTACAAAAGCGCTGATGGTCACCAGACGGAAGTGCCTTGGTGAATATATCAGCAGTGTTGGCCTGAGTGGCCACGTGAGCAAGACGAAGCTGACCACGCTGCTGCAACTCTCGAGCCAGGAAGTAACGCAGAGCTATGTGCTTCGTTCTGTGCTCCAGTCTGTGCTCCTGACACAAGGCAATGGCGGCCTTGTTGTCAACGTATAGAACTGGAGGAGAACGAGGCCGCTCTCCCAAGTCAGTCAGCAGGTAGGTGAGCCAGCGTAACTCCTGTGCAGCCATGGCTGTGGCGTAGATCTCAGCCTCACAACTGGAGCCGAGAACAGAAGACGAGCGTGTAGACCGCCAAGAAACAGAGCCAGAGCCAAGACTGAAGGTGTAACCCTGTGACGACCGCTGTGTAGCCTGGTCGTCAACCCAAGACGCGTCAGAGTGTCCAGTGAGGACAACGTCACCCCGTCCTCCAAGCACGAGCCCCATGCCTGATGTACTGCACAGGTAGCGCAGTACCCTCTTCGCAGCTTCCCAGTGCACCTTTCGGTGCCTACCAGGAGCCACGTAGCGAGCCAGAAGGCCAAGAGGGTACGCAAGGTCAGGTCGAGTGCAGGTCATCAGGTACATGAGGCAGCCCACTAGCTCTGGGTAAGGACCACTCGGCTCTACGGACTCATCCGAAGGTGGAGCTGAGAGCGAGTGACCTGTAGCCAGAGGAGTGGACTGTGGGGAGGACCAGGTGAAGCCGAAGCGCTGAAGGACCTGCTGCACCATGTGTGACTGAGTCAGTGTGATGGTGCGGCGTGCTCTGTCCCGGGTGATCTACAAGCCAAGGTAGCTGCGCAGCTCACCCATGTCTGTGCACGTGTGTCTCTTCTGCAGCTCCGACTTCACCAGGGCGA